ACAAGCGACCGTTTTTCTCTCCTTCAAAATCATTCCAAGTACATTCGTTTTATGTCTTTTTGGACAGGCACTACTTAGGCAGTTCAACGTAGATTCTCATGTACGGAGATTTTCACTGTTCGCTTACAATATGTTACAGCTGTCACAATAATTTGAGGACGTCAAGAAGCGGAGATTCCCATGTAACAGTCGTCATAATTATGAGCTCAAATCTGACCACTGCATATAACTATAAATTCGTTCTGAGATTTTGGTGAATATTCTTCATTTGTACCGACAATGTCCACACGGGTGGTCAATAAAACTATTATTGGAAACAAGACGAGAACGGACAAAACATATAACAAATTGGAGCATGATTTTGTTGTTTAAGTTCGGCTACAATAGCTACGCAGAAAATAAGGGATACAAGATTGGCAAAGGTGCGTTTTAGATTATTCAGTACGGTAATATACGTCACGGCTGGGGAGCAAAAGATGAGAAGACCAATGAACACGGTGATTGGGGAGAGTGTTTAGGTGTTTAGCTATATCCGAAAAGGGGAAGGAATATGGGTCTAGTTCCATTATAAGACAGGGGAAAGTGTCAATTGTTTTTGGTTTGGCTACTAAAGTACGACGGTGATGGATGTATAGAGGAATGTGCGGGTTCCGCCTTGACCCACTATCTGCAGAGCTCGCATTGACTTTAATAAACATGTACCCCAACTAGTAATGTGATGCAGGGCATCTCACAGTCATTTTCGTCTTGTGAGAGGCAGACACTTCTTCTTTAAAGGGTCTTACTGATCACAACACTTTTATTCCACGTTTGAATATACAGTTTCAGACATCATAACCCGCATTTGGATCTCAACATTACAGTCCAGCCGTTGTGATCGACACTGTCCTCTTTGTGTTCCACAGCAAATTGAGAGGAGGTACGGCGACCAGGACGTAATTTTTTATAGTGATAATAGATTTGTGTAACGCCGCTTGGCACGAACAGGATTGTTTGAATGTTGTAACACCTTTGGCGCGGACCTGGGATGGAGATGGTGTAACTGCGTGCTGGTGAAGACGGCCGGTGTCCCTTCCTCTCATTATCGCCGACACCCCCACTCCCGCAGCGCACTCTCGCTCTCGTCTCTCTCCCACTCAATATCGGCCCCCATCTCGGCCCTTCCCTGCAGTTGCCCACAGTGCTGCATCCCCACCGGCTGTTTAGCTAGTATGTCAGGTCACCTATCCATTCCGACAGGTCACCTATTCGCTGTTCCTCATTCCACGTGTACATTAACGGTTGTTATATATATTCTCCATATCATGTCGTCCTATTACACTATACCCCATACTTGACGTACTCCTTCCTCTGCATGTGAATGGGTTTCAAGAGATGCCAACAGTTCTGTTCAGGTCTACCGCCGTCAGGATCTCTTCTCAGCGTTTCCTTACCTTGGTGTGTGCTACGCTTGAACTGCACCAACCCCACTCTCCCCCCTCCTCCACCTGAGTTCGGTGCCAAGGCAAAGTCAAGAATACGGGAGGCGGGATAGGGCCAGGTGGCTGGTATAGTTAGATCCGCACCTAAATTTTCCACCAAACCCCCTTGCCGCAACAAACACTTGACTATGATTTTAATCAACAACAACAAGGGACGAAGGCTCCCGCGGTCGGGACCGCCCCTTGGCGTGCCGCCACACTTGGCTCAGATCCCGCGGAGTGGGAGTAAATATAGACACCGTATTAGGAAGGAGACATTGCAGCCTGACTCTCAGGCCACCAATTCGCCGCCCTACACCAACATGCACTAGACTGATGGCGTGGCTCAAGTTATCCCACCAGTTGGCAACCTTCCAAGCCACGAGTTTTAGCACACCGTAGTAGCTGCAACCTCATCAGATTTTTTATAGTGAGGAAAATATGTTTAGTCTTCGACTTCACCCTTTATTCCCATCCCCCTGTCCCAGCCGATGTCCCAGGCGGTTGGATGTCTAGTGCGTGGAATGGGGCGCTGGCTGACAGTTTGAGAGCTTGTCTGAGCGCGTCATATGCCCGACCCGGTTTTTCAAACACACTCATCACCATTACACACAAAAGTGGGACAGAAAGCTCAGATCTTACATGCAGCAGAAAGGCCACAGGGAGAAAGAGGTCGAAAAGCACATTTTTCGCTCGCGTGAGAGTTGCCGATAATGCGGAACTTCGGAGGGTTGTATGTGTGTTGAATGCGTTGGTGGGTGAATGTGTTATTGTGTCGTGTCAGCAGTGACTTACCGCAGGTTTTCATGAATGCACGTAATACCTAGAAAGCCCCTCATGTCACTGAATGTGTATGGGCAGTGTAGACCGTGCAGGAGGGGGCGGAGCGTATATGTTGATCCTCCAGTCACTGTGTCGCTTGCCTCCGTGAGATGGACTCGCAAGTAACCAACTAGGCTAATGCGTGAAGTGGATGCACGGTGGCACCGTGGACAGGATAGGTCGGAAGCTGCAGAGTCGGTTTCGGCGGTGATGGTGATGCCAATGGTGGGCGCGCTGGACGATGGGGCGTTGATCGAACTCGGCATTGTAGGCGTGTAAGGTGTGCTAGGTGTGGCAATACTGCGGTGAATTCTGTTCTCGTGGATACGAACGTGGCCGATTAGGCTCGTACGGTGGGTGAGTGTGTGAGGGCAGTTAGGACAGTCGAGTCGGATGCGGATGCTCCGAACACTCGTTAGCCAGTCTCTGTGGGATGGATTTGTAAGCGACCGACAAGGAAGATGCGTAAGTTGAGTGTGCGGTCGCAGTGAGGATGGGTCGGGACCGAGTCCACTTCGCTGGAGGTGAAGGTAGTGATGGTGAATATGTTTATGGTTGTCGGGACATCAGAAGCGTTTCGGTCGGTGACGGGGTGGTAGAGGTAGCTGTGCTCTTCATAGTTGTGATTATTGTTGCAAATGTAGAAAAAACGACTAGTAGATCTGTCTGGCTAACTTGATATCTGAATAGACGGGTAAGGAGGGAAAATAGAAGATGGAAGAGATTCAGAGAAAATAAGTCACCAAAACAGCTCGAGTAATTTCGTTGTCAACGAAATGAAGTCAAACATCGGTCCGGCAGGCAGTGGGTGACTGAGAATCCTGAATTATCCGACAGGCTGGGCATAAGTCAAATATTTCATTCCATTATATTAACAGTCGACTTAAGAACAAGGACCGAGTTGCAGTACTGAAGGATGATCATGGTGTAGAAATAGTCGAAAACGGCGAGAAAGTCGAACACTTGGGACAATATTTTGTCTAGGTTTTTACAAGAAAACGAAGTCTCGGAACCACAATGTCAGCAATGCTGTGATGATCGACGGTCCCATGTTTGAATCCATGCATTTGACATCTGTCGTGGAAAAAGTGCTACAGAATGTCAAAGAAGCAAAGTCGTCGGGTCCGGACAATGTACCGGCCAAATTCTTGAAAAAATTGGTAAACAAACTTTCCAAATCTCTAGCACACAGCTCTCATTCTTCATTCGAATTGCGGCAACTGCTATCCGAATGGAAGACAGAGACTATCTACATGATATACAAGGTGGTGCTCGCACTAGTGCAAACAATTACCGACTCGTTTGTCTCACCTGAGTGTGCTGTAAAATAGAGCGCATTCGGGACAGCAACAATGACGTTCCTTAAGGAGAACCACTTACTCTCAGGGATGCAGTACGGCTTCGGACAGATCCGCTCATGCATTTCCAGTTTATTGCGCTCGACAGAGCAGTGAACTCGCTTACTTGGAGACGATGGTAAGGTCGATGTCAACCACGGGTTTCAAGACGGCGTTCGACAGCGTCCCACACAAACGCCCAATCTAAAAAATGTCTGGAATTGGAATAAGGGGAAAGTTACTGGCATAGATTGCATATTTCCTTACAGAGGACCACAAACCGTGTGCGTTGACGACTCGAAGTCAACTCCCACTTCCGTTCTGTGTGATACCTTCCAGTGCTCATTCTTAGAGCTGCTGTTCTTTCTAGTCTACATCAAATATTTTGTCGAAAACCTGGATTGCAACGCCCTCATGTTTGCTAACGATGTTAAACTGTTGAGAGCCATCAGATCTGAGGCGGAAAGGCAAACAGTTTACGAGAATCTCAGCCGACTTAGCAGTCGGTCAGTTCGTTGTCTCATAAATTTCAGCGTTAGCAAGTGTGTGGTCCTGAGACTGCGCACCAGAAGGACTAGGGAGGAGGATGATTCTTTCCAATATCTCTTCGGCAGGTAGCCTCTTTTAAGTGTTGAGGGGCAGAAGGAGCTCGGCATCCTCATGACCGCCTCTCCTAAACCGTTGTCACAGTGTCCAAGGGCAGCCAAACGCAGGAGAGGGTTTTGTATGCGTAGAGACGAAGATTTTTGCAGGTTGATAAGGAACTGTTCGGAAGAATCTAGGGGACATTCGTGCGGCCCCACTTCGAGCATTCCGTCAAGGCCTGAAGTCCATGGTTTAAAAAAGATTTGCAACAGCTGGGATGAGTACAGGCAAGGGCTACAAAATAGTCAAGAAACTTGGTCATCCGCTTTACAAAGCCAAGCTGGATTTACATAATTTGTTTCCTCTCAGTTACATACAAGTGGGCAGTAGTCGCATTTAAACCCATCGGATTGTCAGGGGTCGTGAGTGTGTCCTAGGCTCTGACAGAATTTGCCGAACTGGCTTAAATGGACCGTTTGCGTGGTCATCCCTTTAAACTGCAGAGGAAGCTAGCCCATACGGACGTCCGAAGGAGCGCCTTCCGCAGAGTGCCATTGGGTCTTGAAACGGACTCGCGGATTCGGTGGTTCTTTCTGATATTGTTGAAGCCTTCAAATGCATATCAGACGCTCACTTGCTGGGAAACTACTGTGCATATAATCACGGCTGTATTATTGGCGACGATTTGCACCTCGCTCACACATGCCGATACTTTTTAAATTCTCAGAATTGATTATATTGCCGTTTATCGATATGAATAGGGAGCTGAAGGCGAAAGTCTCATTCCCTTTATAAATTAACTGACTAACTTACGTGCTAGTGGCAGAGGGCGGATGTTAGCGTGGTCGACATGGATGTTGGAACAGGGGCCATAGTGGAGGCAACGGTTGCGGTCGTCGGGTGGTTGGTGCATTGAGCTGGAAGATGAATGACGAGGTCGATTCGCCCGCGTAATGCTCGATGACGGCGCGGGCACGTTGTGTGGGGTCGAGATAGAGATGTTACGAATGGGCGGCGCCTGAGTCTTACGAGCAGCCCTTTTGGCTTTGGCGGCGGCGATACTGTTTGCGTCGTAGATGGCTGCACCAATATTCACTTCTCTTCTCCAGGCCGATCTGCGCTGGGCGAGGTTCTCGCGGGTGTCCGGGTTGATCTGCAGTCGCTTCAGAGAGTTCTTCAAAGCGTCCTTGTAGAGTCGTCTTTGTCCTCCTGCACGGCGAGCACTCGCAGCGAGATGTGCACAGGAGAACTGTTTTGGTAGACGACCGCCGTTTATTCTCACAGGGTGGCCGCTCCGTCGCACAGCATGGACGTTGAGGATTCCAGTTGCTTTCAAAAATTCCATGTCCGGGATCTTGTCCTGCCACTCCTGTCTAAGTATTCTGTGGAGGCAGCTGAGATGGAAGTGGTTGGGCTTCTTGTCATGTCTACAGTAAACAGTGCAGGTCCATGCTCTTTTTTGTCCGCATTGATAGTCGTTTCGAAGTGAGCGCAGCCGGAGTTAAAAATCCATGCTTCGGTGCATGTGATCCTAGGTCGTGTGTCGAGCACGTAGTCGCCGGCGAAGAGCATGTCGTGGACTGTGGTTGTAGATGGTCACGTTGGGACTCTCATGTGCTCATCACCTTAGGCGTCCATAAGCGTAACAGAGAACACGAGGTAAATATGGGAGCGCGAGGACGCACTCATGTTTCACTCCGTTAGTCACTGCGAAGTCCCATGATGCGGCTCTATTATTATTATTATTATTATTATTATTATTATTGTCCATGATGCTCGCCGCCATGCCTCCGTGGAGCTGACGCACCATCTGAGTGAATTGCTCGGGACAGCCGAATTTCCGCATGACTTTCTACAGCCCCTCTCGATTCACAGTGTCGAAGGTTTTCGTGAAGTCCACGAAATTTGCGTTGAGGCGGGTTCGCATCTTCTGGCACTTCTCCTGCAGATAACGAGCGATGAATACCACTCCAGCGGTCCCGTGGTGGCGTTGGAAGCCGCAGTGTCTTTCTAGCAGTAATTTTTACTCGGAGTAGCCGTTGAAACGATTGAGGAGAGGGCGAGCGAAGATCTTCCAGGCGATGTCGACTAAAGAGATGCCGCTGTGGTTGCAACAGAGTTTCAGGGGTCACTCGCACTTGTATAGATAGACGATGATCGCGTACTTAAAGTCCTAAAAGGCCTGTCTTTGTCGCCACATCTCCTGGAGCAGCGCTGTAAGGTGATCCATTAGTCGGTGGCCGCCGTGCTTGTAGATTTCAGCCGTGATCGCATCGGGACCTAATGCTTTCCCGCACTAAAGCTGTTGCACGACTGGGATGACTTCTGGAAAGGAGGGTGGGAGATCCAGGTCGGTGTTGTTTTCCACTTTGGGGAGCTGGTCGGTAGCGGCGTCAGAGATTGTGGTGGAATGGGCGAGGATGCCTCAGAAGTGGTCCGCCTAGTGCTTCAGGATCTGCGACTTCTCTGTCAGAGGTGTTGATTCATCGAAGCTGGTAGGGGACTGCAGATCGCGTTGATTACAGCAAAGAAGTTCTTTGATTTGTTGCGTCTGGCATATTCCTGAATCTTCCTGGTCTTGTAAACCATCCAGTTGTCCTGTATTTCTCATAATCGTTGCTGTGCAAGGCGGCGAGATTGGCAGAAGGCCACGTTGTTTGCATCAGTGGATCGGCCAGTGTGGGCTCTATGTAACCTGTGCTTTTTGGCGTTCAGGTTGCTGATCGCTGCATCGGTTTCATCGAACCGGTCCTAGTGTCAACGACATGCGCGTTCGAGGACACCGAGGGCGGTCGAATGGACGACGTCCAGGAAGCGTGCTCCTCTGCTGCCGGCAGGCTTTCAAGCCGCCATTTCAGTTGACTGCTAGAATGCAAACGGTGAGCAGGCAAAAATAACAGAACGGTATTTAACTTTCATGGTGGTCACTTACATTTTGGTCTCTTGCAGGTTTGCAGTCGGATCCTCATCTTGGAGATAACGAGACGAATGTCAGTTAAAGCACCAGCGTGCAGATCGCTCTGGTCGCCAGCGCATCACGTCGATCTCACTGCAGGACAAGAACGTTGTCCAGCAGCTGCCCGTGCCGCGATCGTGGGCGAATGCAGAACAGGTGGAAGGAAAGGTTAATCAGGAGGAGGCGCTGTTCTGTGCAGGTTTACGGAATAAGTAGGCCATGTTCGCTGTGGCCACCGATTCCTTGGGGGACCCAACACTCTCTTCCAGATACCGGTCTGTCCCAATGAGGGCTGTGAAGCCAAAAAGGAAAACTAGCTTGTCCGCCTTCGGCACAGACGCCAGGAGGGTGTGCAGGTCCTTGAAGAACTTATCTTCGCTTCGCCAGAAGTAGTCACTGGATGCGGCGTAGGCGCTGATGAAGATGGTAAATGAGGACCGCCGGAGAAACAGGTGGAGGTCCATCAGTCGGTCGCTGACACCCTGCGACAGACAGGGCAGTCGTCCCGCGATGCCATTCCGAATAGTGAAGGCGACACCGCGTCTAGTCGCTTCGCTTTTGGGCGGCCTTTCCAGGATAAGGTGTAGCCTATACTCACCTCCTTCCACTAATTCTGTCCAGAGGGCCGGGTCTCGCGGAGAGCAGCAATGCCTGCCTTGTAGCGTGCCAGTTCTCGATCGACTAGTCGCGTCCTCCTTTTAAGTCGGCTGCTCCTCGGGATTTTAAAAAAGAGCGGCCATCCCAAGCTTCTGGTGCGAGCGTAAGGGGTGGGGCGGAGGTAAGAGGTTGGTTGCCACTTTTCGTTGTAGAGTTTCGACCGAGTTATTTGCATCTACGATCCACGGTAAAATTCATAGGATTTCCGAATACGGAATTCGTCACTGCTTGTCCATTTTCCTAGCCTAGTGTATGCTCACCATTTCGAAAATCCCTATAAGTGGTCGTTCGAAATAACCCCATTTTTTGCTTAAACGCCACTTCCATATTGCACATATTTTGGCGTGTTTAGGATTCTTAAACTTTATTTGCCTTTTAACTTGCAGTATCATAAGGCGCTCAAACAGAATTATAGTTATCTTGCGAAAGCAGTTTCTTGTTTCGATGATAGCGAGATGTTTTTTTCTGGAACCGAAATGTAGCATGTCTCATACGTAAACGATGTTATGGATCTCACAATGTAGTAAGAATGGAAACCTACTTGGGCTGGCGGACCGAGTTGTTTTAAAGCTTTCTTTGCACAAAATTGCGCCATGGGTCTGGGAGGAGTCCTAGAGTTTTCGCGGTTAGCAAGATCACTGTTTCCGATGCATGAATTCATGCGTCCTAGTCAACTCTGTGTTAACAACCTTGCCACGATTAGTCTTGGTGCGTTCCGTCTAATTGGGTAATGTAAGGAAACTCCAGAGGAATGACCTGACATGCGAAAAAGGACAGAGTTCGTCTACTTGTTTGCACGAGAATACTAGCTGGTGGACTGGAGGCCGATTTGAACGGAACAGATAACTGAACGTTGGTAAAACAATGCAGTTGTTTAACTTTGCATGAGACATAAAGTGTACGATCGGTGCTCCGTCGGGTGTCACACAGCAGGTTACTCTAGAGGCAAAGAACGCGTGCTCGGGTTAAATTTTACATGAGATTCAAGTTGCCAGAAATTTTGCGGAATATTGACAGAATATTAATTGATCTTTGGCTGTTAACAGGTACGCTAAACGAATGTTGTTTAAAGAAATTGTTTAACCTGGGGGATTTATGGGCGAATTCTTTTGAAAAGGCCTAGAAGGTTGAAGAGAAAGAGATAGCTATCTGATAACCGATGACAAATTGCCTTTAATGTGGGGAAACGTTAGATTCGATTGTCGAGTCATGCCGTTTTTACGGTATGGCTCAGAATATTTAACAGAAAGTCATAAGGTCCTATGTCGATGTGGAGAAGAATTAGTTCCAACTGGTTAAGGCCTAACAAGGGACGTTACGGGTGAGCTTACGAGGGAGTTGGAGGCGGCTGATGTATTGACTAACGATTTAGATACAAAGAAAGGCGTTATCATCTGGCTTGGGTGAACAAAAAGAAGATGTGTGAGAGTCTCCGTGCCGGACTTTTGAAGATTTACATCAGTTATTTTCTTGTGGTTAATAACATTATGACCGGATTGCTGAAGATTTGGCAGAGAAGCCGACAATTTGTATGAGGAAAGGAACCCAATTCTTCGTCTCAATGGTCGGAAGGTCGGGTAATATCGAAAGTTTTACACCTTAAGATAATCAGAAATACGTTCCTGCTGGGCGAAAATTTTATCAACCTGAACCGGTGAAAAAAGCGTGAATAAAGTGGGCTGATTTTTGGTATGCGAGAATAGTGATTTTTCCTCTACTATTTTATGACTAAGGTCATGTGAATAAAAGATCTCAAATGCAATCTAGTTTGACTGGTTGGACCAGGAAACCTTTTCAACATAAAGTTAAAATTCCTTTTCTGCCTTACACAGGCTTCACCAGCAGTCAGATCAACGAGCGAATCAAGATGTTTACAGCCTGTAAAGGAAACTTGGGAATATGTTCATCGAAAAGTTCACCAGAGATGGAAAAAGCAAACCGAATTTCCCCGTATAATGATTGCGGATACACTATACGGATAGATCGAACGTTGCATCAACAATAGGTCGATGGTGACCGTTAACGCTTCGGAATCTAGATTGACTAAATTAACACTTAGGCACAGAGATAGAGAGCTGCCGACGTATGGTGACCGTTGCTGTCTACTTAGTTTGATTATTGCTGAAAATCAGTAAGATTTCAGGTAAACCGGTGGTTGGATTCTTACGAAAATTAAACAGTGCGAAGATGCGCACAATTGAGAAGAGTTAGAATGCACGAACTGCCAACTGCAGAAGAGAAAGAAGAGTCCAACAGGCATGATTCAGGAAGAATCTCGAACGAAATTGCATCTAGTAATTAGAGGAAGAAATGGCGACTGATAATATCCCATTCAGTGTTACCCCCACCTTTATCGACTGTCGCCATTTCATGGGTAGCAGTTTTTTTCTCCTGAACCCTCCACACTATGAAAAACAACCATTACATTTACTTTTTGTGTCAGGAGCTCTTTTACTGCTAACTGGATTTGTGTTTAACACTCCCTGACACTACCTGCAAACTGGCATTAAATACAGTTATTATTATTGTTAACACAGATAATTTGCGGGAATTTTCTAAATAAGTGAGGGTTTAATTTACATGTATTTCTCAGAAGAATTTTATTCTTCAAAAATATTTACCTGTATCCACAAACAAAAACAAACTCACATTTCTATCCGCATAAATGGCCACACTCTCGATGGGCAACAGTACTGATTTTGGTAGTCGCCCTGGTGGATGAATTCTCCTAGATCTTTGGATTAATGTGGCTTTCTCTCCTGTAGTGATGCAACCATTATTCGCGATGTCATGTCCAATGTTTCCAGGCACATCCTAAAGTTTGTGTCGCGTAGATATCTCAAGCCGAATTCTCAAGATTCTCTTGTTCCTTACTTTCATCGCAACAGACTGAAAAAGATGTGACAGCAACTGCGTGACCTATTCATTAGTTCTTTATCCGTTCATCTTAGAAACACAGAGATTTTTGAAATGACCTCAAGGATGCACCAAGCGCGCGACAGGCAAAGAGAATCACTTGCCCTCAGCGATTCGAACCCTGGCAAATGCGTCGTTAACATCTGCCGTTATCGGTCCTCCTCTAAGCGTAGTCACGAACTTCCACCCCAGTTAAATGATAACAAACTCTTCCTCACCGATGACACTGACAAGGCGGAGTTGTTTAGTGCTTTCTTTGCAAAACACCTTGCTACCGAGTCCGATCCGGTTCCCTTTTTTCGATCACTTTCAGATAGGACACCGAGTACAATCGATGTCTCCTCAGATCTCATTAAGAAACACATAAGCCGTTTGAAATACTCACACTCCTCAGGAAGGGACGGGATTCCGAATTCGATTATTAAACAAGCGTCCGACCTTCCCATATTGCTTAGTCATTTATTCTCGGTTTATATTTCCAAAGGATTCGTTCCTGAAACATGGAAAACGTCATCTATCATTCCTGTCTGCAAGTCAGGATCTCGGTTTGATGTTAATAACTATCGGGGCGTGCACAAAACACCGTCTCTATCAAAGCTTCTTGAATGGATTACTTCCAATGAAATTCTTGACTTCTGTCTAGCTAATCGGCTTCTGAGCTCTAGTCAGCACGAGTTTTTACCTGAATGATCCTGCGAAACTTGCCACTTCGCATTTCTTAATCCAGTCACTTCCCTTCGTAATGAGCGGCAGTCAGTGGTAGTTATCTACTTTGATCTTAGCAAAGCCTTTGACAAGGTGGCCCATAGATGTCTTCTTAGTAAAATCAGAAGCTCTTGACATCCGGCCGCCTCTACTCGACTTCATCAGGCCCTATCTGTCCAATCGATATCAGAAAGTCATGGTCAGTAATATCTACTCGACACCTCAAATCACGAGTGGCGTACATCAAGGAACGGTTCTGGGTCCGTTACTCTTCCTTCTGTACATCAATGATATTTCGACTGAACTCGGAAATTCGCAAACTTTCACTTATAGAATAGAATAGAATAGGTTTATTGTAGCGCCCCTTGGGCACTGTCAGTCCCCTTTGAACTCAGGAAAAAAACCTAAAACAAACTCGTCAATTTCAACTGCACTTTGACTTCATTTGCTTCGGGTGCCTGGTTAGCCAAAAGAGCGCGAATTGAGAGTTTGTTTCAAGTTAAAAAGACCTCAGTTCTAAGGGAAAATAATAACAAAAGTTTCAAAAAATAACGATGTGTACAATATAAAAATTGAAGTTTGCAGTTTGGTAGTTTTCGGGGGCATGAATAATATGTCCTTCATGGCAATTGAAGAACTTTGATATCGGCCTGACCTTGAAATTATTTTCCTGTTGGGTAAATTTCGGTTTGCTCTAGTTGTTGGTTGTCAGTCTATCTGGCCAGCTGTAAGGGGGCGCTCGCACAGTTCCGACGTATTTTTTCAGGAGGCTTACCATCGTTGTCTGGACTAAGAGCTGGAAAAGATGAATATATATCAGGAGTAAGAAGCATTCAATGGTAAGTCACAATCAAAACTGTCAAAATACTATTGAATCATGTATCATATTGTTCTTGTTAATGTGAAATTATAGGAGTAGTGGTCGACTGTTTACTATGACCTAATATAGTTCTATATATGTTTAATATGGCTTTAATATAGACATACGCACGACTAATATGCAGGGTTTTACCGAAGGGTATATTTTTATTAGCTTTATAAGGGATATTTAGTGTCTGGTGACATAGCTGATGAAAACGAGAAAGGGAGGAAAATAGAGGAATATCATTATCTATTCTATGTTAATCAATGATGCTATCTTTTATAAATTTGATTATTTTTAGTGCTATGTTCCGGTATTTTTCAA